AACTAGAACTGAACTAGAACTGAACTAAACTGAACTAGAACTGAACTAAAATCAACTAGAACTGAACTAGAATGAACTAGAACTGAACTAGAACTGAACTAGAACTGAACTAGAACTCAACTAGAACTGAACTAGAACTGAACTAGAACTGATAGAACTGAACTAGAACAGAACTAAAACTAAACTAGAACTGAACTGAAACAAAACTAGAATAGAACTAGAACTGAACTAGAACTGAACTAGAACTGAACTAGAACTGAACTAGAACTGAACTAGAACTGAACTAGAACTGAACTAGAACTGAACTAGAACTAGAACTGACCTAGAACTGAACTAGAACTGAACTAGAACTGAACTAGAACTGAACTAGAACTGAACTAGAACTGAACTAGAACTGAACTAGAACTGAACTAGAACTGAACTAGAACTGAACTAGAACTGAACTAGAACTGAACTAGAACTGAACTAGAACTGAACTAGAACTAGAACTGAACTAGAACTGAACTAGAACTGAACTAGAACTGAACTAGAACTAGAACTGAACTAGAACTGACTAGACGACTAGAACTGAACTAGAACTGAACTAGAACTAAACTAGAACTGAACTAGAACTGAACTAGAACTAACTAGAACTGAACAAGAACTGAACTAGAACTGACTAGACTGAACTAGAACTGAACTAGAACTGAACTAGAACTGAACTAGAACTGAACTAGAACTAACTAGAACTGACTAGAACTGAAACTAGAACTGAACTAGAACTGAACTAGAACTGAACTAGAACTGAACTAGAACTGAAGTAGAACTGAACTATAACTGAACTAGAACTGAACTAGAACTGCACTAGAACTAAATTAGAACTACTAACTGAACTAGAACTGAACTAGAACTGAACTAGAACTGAACTAGAACTGAACTAGAACCTGAAGTAGAACTGAACTAGAACTGACTAGACTGAGTAGAACTGAAACTAGAACTGAACTAGACTGAACTAGAACTGAACTAGAACTGAAGCTAGAACTGAAGTAGAACTGAACTAGAACTGAACTAGAACTGAACTAGAACTGAACTAGAACAGAACTGAACTAGAACTGAACTAGAACTGAACTAGAACTGAACTAGAACTGAACTAGAACTGAACTAGAACTGAACTAGAACTGAACTAGAACTGAACTAGAACTGAACTAGAACTGAACTAGAACTGAACTAGAAACTAGAACTGAACTAGAACTGAACTAGAACTGAACTAGAACTGAACTAGAACTGAACTAGAACTGAACTAGAACTGAACTAGAACTGAACTAGAACTGAACTAGAACTGAACTAGAACTGAACTAGAACTGAACTAGAACTGAACTAGAACTGAACTAGAACTGAACTAGAACTAGAACTGAACTAGAACTGAACTAGAACTGAACTAGAACTGAACTAGAACTGAACTAGAACTGTACTAGAACTGAACTAGAACTGAACTAGAACTGAACTAGAACTGAACTAGAACTGAACTAGAAGAACTAGAACTGAACTAGAACTGACTAGAACTGAACTAGAACTGAACTAGAACTGAACTAGAACTGAACTAGAACTGAACTAGAACTGAACTAGAACTGAACTAGAACTGAACTAGAACTGAACTAGAACTAGAACTGAACTAGAACTGAACTAGAACTGAACTAGAACTGAACTAGAACTGAACTAGAACTGAACTAGAACTGAACTAGAACTGAACTAGAACTGAACTAGAACTGAACTAGAACTGAAATAGAACTGAACTAGAACTGAACTAGAACTGAACTAGAACTGAACTAGAACTGAACTAGAACTGAGCTAGAACTGAACTAGAACTGAACTAGAACTGAACTAGAACTGAACTAGAACTGAACTAGAACTGAACTAGAACCGAACTAGAACTGAACTAGAACTGAACTAGAACTGAACTTGAACTGAATTGAACTGAACGAGAACTGAACTAGAACTGAACTAGAACTGAACTAGAACTGAACTAGAACTGAACTAGAACTAGAACTGAACTAGAACTGAACTAGAACTGAACTAGAACTGAAACTAGAACTGAACTAGAACTGAACTAGAACTGAACTAGAACTGAACTAGAACTGAGCTAGAACTGAACTAGAACTGAACTAGAACTGAACTAGGAACTGAACTAGAACTGAACTAGAAACTGAACTAGAACTGAAATAGAACTGAACTAGAACTGAACTAGAACTGAACTAGAACTGAACTAAAACAGAACCAGAATAGAACTAGAAATGAACTAGAACTGAACTAGAACTGAAACTAGAACTGAACTAGAACTGAACTAGAACTGAACTAGAACTGAACTAAGAACTGAACTAGAACTGAAATAGAACTGAACTAGAACTGAACTAGAACTGAACTAGAACTGAACTAGAACTGACTAGAACTGAACTAGAACTGAACTAGAACTGAGCTAGAACTGACTAGAACTGAACTAGAACTGAACTAGAACTGAACTAGAACTGAACTAGAACTGAACTAGAACTGAACTAGAACCGAACTAGAACTGAACTAGAACTGAACTAGAACAACTTGAACTGAACTTGAAACTGAACGAGAACTGAACTAGAACTGAACTAGAACTGAACTAGAACTGAACTAGAACTGAACTAGAACTGAACTAGAACTGAACTAGAACTGAACTAAACTAAAACTGAACTAGAACTGAACTAGAACAGAATTAGAACAGAACTAGAACAGAACTAGAACAGAACTAGACCAGAACTAGACAGAACTAGAACAGAACTAGAACAGAACTAGAACAGAACTAGAACAGAACTAGAACAGAACTAGAACAGAACTAGAACAGAACTAGAACAGAACTAGAACAGAACTAGAACAGAACTAGAATAGAACTAGAACAGAACTAGAACAGAACTAGAACAGAACTAGACAGAACTAGAACAGAACTAGAAAGAACTAGAACAGAACTAGAACAGAACTAACAGAACTAGAACAGAACTAGAACAGAACTAGAACAGAACTAGAACAGAACTAGAACAGAACTAGAACAGAACTAGAACAGAACTACAACAGAACTAGAACAGAACTAGAACAGAACTAGAACAGAACTAGAACAGAACTAGAACAGAACTAGAACAGAACTAGAACAGAACTAAACAGAACTAGAACAGAACTAGAACAGAACTAGAACAGAACTAGAACAGAACTAGAACAGAACTAGAACAGAACTAGAACAGAACTAGAACAGAACTAGAACAGAACTAGAACAGAACTAGAACAGAACTAGAACAGAACTAGAACAGAACTAGAACAGAACTAGAACAGAACTAGAACAGAACTAGAACAGAACTAGAACAGAACTAGAACAGAACTAGAACAGAACTAGAACAGAACTAGAACAGAACTACAATAGAACTAGAACAGAACTACAACAGAACTAGAACAGAACTAGAACAGAACTAGAACAGAAAGAACAGAACTACAACAGAACTAGAACATAACTAGAACAGAACTAGAACAGAACTAAACAGAACTAGAACAGAACTAGAACAGAACTAGCAGAACTAGAACAGAACTAGAACAGAACTACAGAACTAGAACAGAACTAGAACAGAACTAGAACAGAACTAGAACAGAACTAGAACAGAACTAGAACAGAACTAGAACAGAACTAGAACAGAACTAGAACAGAAACTAGAACAGAACTAGAACAGAACTAGAACAGAACTAGAACAGAACTAGAACAGAACTAAACAGAACTAGAACAGAACTAGAACAGAACTAGAACAGAACTAGAACAGAACTAGAACAGAACTAGAACAGAACTAGAACAGAACTAGAACAGAACTAGAACAGAACTAGAACAGAACTAGAACAGAACTAGAACAGAACTAGAACAGAACTAGAACAGAACTAGAACAGAACTAGAACGAACTAGAACAGAACTAGAACTGAACTAAAAACTAGAACAGAACTAGAATAGAACTAGAACAGAACTAGAACAGAACTAGAACAGAACTAGAACTAGACAGAACTAGAACAGAACTAGAACAGAACTAGACAGAACCAGAACAGAACTAGAACAGAACTAGAACTGAACTAGAACTGAACTAGAACTGAACTAGAACTGAACTAGAACTGAACTAGAACTGAACTAGAACTGAATTAGAACTGAACTAGAACTGAACTAGAACTGAACTAGAACTGAATAGTACTGAACTAGAACTGAACTAGAACTGAACTAGAACTGAACTAGAACTGAACTAGAACAGAACTAGAACTGAACAAGAACTGAACTAGAACTGAACTATCAATATTGATTTAAAATGAATCCAGAATTCAGTCTGCCGATAAAAAGGTTTATGAGGTTTGTTAAAATAGTATATAACATCAGGGAATCAAATTATTTTCAAAACTTTGCACTTACTTTTGTTGTGTTTATAGTAAATACTGACTTGGAGACAATTCGTTTACCAGTATGCCAAATACGTCCTATATACTTCATGCGTTGTATGGCAATAATAGCCAAGGCTACAGTCCTAAAAAGAAAGAAAAAAAATTATTAGTATAACTGTAGACACACCAAAAATCCTTCCCATTTTCCAACTTACTTTAATTTCTTTTCGGTTTTGTATTCTGCAACAAATGACCACCATTGAAAGCTGCCAAAGCTCTCTGCTCACTATCCTGGTAATTTTGTAGCGAAATCTTCAAATAACGTTTTTGATAAACTAAAGCCTTGCGATGTGATTCCACGCGTAAATAACGTCCTAGTAAGTGGTTACAGCGCTCCTCTAGCTCACTAACACTGGCCGAGCCACTCAATTGAGATTCCAGCTCTTCGCATTTTCTTTGCAGTTGACGACGTTCCTCGACCAAATATTGTACTGTCTCAGCCATTTGTTTATTCTCTTGAGTATTTTCTGCCAGCAGAGTATTGATTCTTTCATTTTCTGTAGAAATTGTTCCGGCACCGTGGTTTGTCCCTCACGCATGGCCAGATTTTGGTTAGCATTGGCCAAAGCCTCAGCTAATTTGACTTCTCTTTGTGCAGATCTTTCCACATCAAAACGCAGTTGATTGATGGTTTTGTTGAGTCCTTCCTTCTCAGCTTCTAGAGAATATACTTGGGTTTTCAGTTCTTGTATTTCGGCCATCATTTGGGCATATTCTTTGTGTTGTTTTTCCTTGCGTGTAAAGCGGCGAGTTTCTGCTTCCTGCAGACTAGCTATGCGTGCTTCCAAGGATTCAATTTCTTGAGTTTGCAGAGTTAAACGTTCCTGTAAATGTTCAATTTCCATTTCAGCATTATCTTTATCTCGTGCCACTTTATCCATTTCACGCTTAAGTTTTTCACAATATTCGATTCTCTCGGTCAGTTCCTTTTCATAACGTGAACGTTCTCTTTCGGTGTTGCGTTGCAGATCAGCACATCTCTCACGTTCTCTTTCATTTTGGGCAGTTAATAGTTTAATTTCACTTCTTAGTCGATCGGCTAGTTCAGATTCAAAGTCATTGAGTGATCTGGGGGATTTGCGTGGCGATTCTGTGGGTGATTTCAAAAGTGAAGAATTTCGACGACTATCGGTTCTTTGTAGTGTGGTCAGCTGTGTCTGTAAACGTTCACATCTTTCTCTTTCGATATCCAACTGTTTGTGCAGTTCATCTTCCTGTTCCAAGGCCGACTCTAAACGTTTACGCATGGCCTCTATGATCACTACATCTTGTTCTTGTACTTCTTGAGAGTGTTGCTTCTCTAATAGCAATTCTTGCCGTATGTCTTCAGCATGTTCTCTCTCCACTGAGATTTGTGCTCTCAAAGCCTCCAATTGATTTAGCAACTCACGTTCTCCCGTAAAGTTTTCATCGTCTGTTGTTCCGGGATGCTCATTAACCACCGTTTTCTCTTGATGCGAGCGATCTAGATTATTCTCTTCCTCACTTTCTATGGCCTTTAATATATTCGAGTCTAATTGGGCCGAGTAATTCAACTCTTTCTCCACCTGTTGTGCAATTTCATCCACGGAGAACTGTTTGGAACTATTGTCGCTGTTTTGCTGTTTCAGTTTCTCCACATCTTTTTCCAAATTAGTGATTTGTATTTGCAGTTCTCCTATGGTATCCTCGGCTATGGAGAGTTTAGTGCTTAAAGTTAAAAGTCTCTCATCTTTGGTTTTAATTTCTTGATTTAGTAATTCGATTTGTTTTTTGCGATCCTCGCTATCTCTTTGCACATATTTGCACTGCTCATGGGACTCGCTAATGACCAACAGCTCCTTTCTTAGGTTTTCTCTTTCCTTCATTTCATTTTCGGTATTTTTCAGCAATTTCTCTTCCATTTCTCTTAAACGTTTGACCAGCGTCTCCTCACTTTCTTGGTAATTTCTCAAATTCTTTCGTTTTTGCTTAGCAGTTCCGTCTTTTCTTTTTTCAATTTATCCTGTTCTCTTAAGAGATCTTCTATCTCCAAGGATTTCTCCATAAGTTGCTGTTGCAGTTCCTTATTCTTTTTGCTCTCCGCCTGCAGATTCAACAATTCTTTTTGGCTATTGGCCAGCTCATCTTGCAGATTGGTCAATCTTAGTTGGGAAGAAAGCAAATAATCAGCACTCTTCTCTTTTTCCTTTTCTAAATGCTGGATCTTATCCTTAAGCTCTTTGATTTCCTGCTCCAAATTCTCTTTATCCTCTAGATATTCCTGAGGAGTTTGTTTACTATCCGGAGTTTGTAAATTATTGGGAGTTTTCAATTTTGAATCTTCGGTCATGGCAGAGAAATTGATTTGTCTTGGCACTAATGCGGGCGTTACAGAGGCTCCTGATTGGGCAGAACCCAATATATTGGGATCTTGGAAGTAGTGAGGATGATCGAAGGTATTAACCTGTTGTAAAGTAGTAAAACCTGACAAATCCTCGGTACGTTTGTGCGTTAAATTAGCCACTACTCCTTTAGATGTTTCCATGGTATTGTGTAAAAATCCTCCACTACCTTCTGGCAGCAAAAGAGGAGAAGTTAAATTATGGGCCGCTGCTCTACGCACCACGTCGGGTTCATCAAATTCTGTTATAGAAACTATATCACTGAGTGTCCTAGCACTTAACTTAGTGCTAGCCTCTTCGGGTTTTTTGGCTGCGCCCACTGAAGAAGCTTGACTTATATCCAATACCGATTGCAATTCCTTTTCTTTGCTTTCCAGCTGTTCCTTCAAATGGTCAATCTCTTCATTTTTATCCGCCAACATAGTTTCCATTAGATCGGGCAAAGCCAATTTGTTAATCATTTCATTTTTGATTTTATCCTTAAGCTTTTGATTTTCTGCCTGCTTTTGTTTCAGTTCATTTTCCAGTCTCTCTAAAGCACTACGATCAGGTTGCTGCTCTACCGCCAGTTCAGCTTCTAAACGATCTATAGCCATTTTACTCTTTTCCAATTGCTGTTTCATGGTGGCAATTTGTTTGTCACGATTGGAGAGTGTCTCACGCAGATTCTGCAATTCATTTTGCAGATCATGTATGCGTATATTGAGATCGGAAGTGTTCGAGCGTTGCAGTTCTTCGGCACGTTGACGTTGCTCTTCGAGGCGTGATTGCAAAGCAGAGATGCGCTGTGTTTGTTCTGACATGCGCTCTTGCAGCGATTCACGCTCATGCTGAAGTTCCTAAGGGGTAAAGGGAAAGAAAGGGGAAAAAAATAAATTATTTAATAATCAAATTTAGAGGGAGATATTGGTTTATAAGGTGAAAGAGTTATTCTCAAAATGTTCAGTTCTAGTTCTGCTCTAGTTCTGTTCTAGTTCTGTTCTCGTTCAGTTCTCGTTCAGTTCTAGTTCAGTTCTAGTTCAGTTCTAGTTCAGTTCTAGTTCAGTTCTAGTTCAGTTCTAGTTCAGTTCTAGTTCAGTTCTAGTTCAGTCTAGTTCAGTTCTAGTTCAGTTCTAGTTCAGTTCTAGTTCAGTTCTAGTTCAGTTCTAGTTCAGTTCTAGTTCAGTTCTAGTTCAGTTCTAGTTCAGTTCTAGTTCAGTTCTAGTTCAGTTCTAGTTCAGTTCTAGTTCAGTTCTAGTTCAGTTCTAGTTCAGTTCTAGTTCAGTTCTAGTTCAGTTCTAGTTCAGTTCTAGTTCAGTTCTAGTTCAATTCTAGTTCAGTTCTAGTTCAGTTCTAGTTCAGTTCTAGTTCAGTTCTAGTTCAGTTCTAGTTCAGTTCTAGTTCAGTTCTAGTTCAGTTCTAGTTCAGTTCTAGTTCAGTTCTAGTTCAGTTCAGTTCAGTTCTAGTTCAGTTCTAGTTCAGTTCTAGTTCATTCTAGTTCAGTTCTAGTTCAGTCTAGTTCAGTTCTAGTTCAATTCTAGTTCAGTTCTAGTTCAGTTCTAGTTCAGTTCTAGTTCAGTTCTAGTTCAGTCTAGTTCAGTTCAGTTCAGTTCTAGTTGTTCTAGTTCAGTTCTAGTTCAGTTCTAGTTCAGTTCTAGTTCAGTTCTAGTTCAGTTCTAGTTCAGTTCTAGTTCAGTTCTAGTTCAGTTCTAGTTCAGTTCTAGTTAGTTCTAGTTCTAGTCAGTTCTAGTTTCAGTTCTAGTTCAGTTCTAGTTCAGTTCTAGGTTCAGTTCTAGTTCAGTTTCTAGTTCAGTTCTAGTTCAGTTCTAGTTCAGTTCTAGTTCAGTCTTCTAGTTCAGTTCTAGTTCAGTTCTAGTTCAGTTCTAGTTCGTCTAGTTCAGTTCTAGTTCAGTTCTAGTTCAGTTCTAGTTCAGTTTAGTCAGTTAGTTCAGTTCTAGTTTCAGTTCTAGTTCAGTTCTAGTTCAGTTCTAGACTCAGTTCTAGTTCAGTTCTAGTTCAGTTCTAGTTCAGTTCTAGTTCATTCTAGTTCAGTTCAAGTTCAGTTCTAGTTCAGTTCTAGTTCCATTCCATTTCTGTTCGACTTCCGTTTGTTTAGTTCTGTTCTAGTTCTGTTCTAGTTCTGTTCTAGTTCTGTTCTAGTTCTGTTCTGTTCTGTTCTAGTCTGTTCTAGTTTCGTTCTAGTTTGTCTAGTTATGTCTAGTTCTGTTCTAGTTCTGTTCTAGTTCTGTGCTAGTTTTGTTCTAGTTCTGTTTAGTTCTGTTCTTAGTTCTGTTCTAGTTCTGTTCTAGTTCTGTTCTATTTCAGTTCTATTTCCAGCATTTCCATTTTATTAAAACTCCTCCTCTTCCCTCATTTATCTAAAAACTAATTGAATTCAATCAGTTAGAAACTCAAAGACAAGAAAAACAACAACGAGTTTAAAGACCCCAAACTATTTTCAATTAGAAAAGATACTCCCATTTAATTGATAAGACACTTTACAAACATTTATCATATTAAATGAATTTTATGAAAGAAAAGGAAAAGATGAAGAATAAATTCATAAATAAATATCATAAAAGATACACTTTACAAATGGCATTAAAAAGATTTAATTAAAGTTTTATATAAACGAACTCTAGATGCACAGCTGAATGAAAGAACCTCCTCCACCAGCACTTCAGTAAGTGCAAATATTTTCCAAATCTAAAGATAAATAAAATAATTTAGATATTCATATGAAGCTGTAAAGTAAAGAGTTGTTCAAAAGAAACATCTTTTGGAAAAATTTTTTAAAGAGAAAAATTGAAAGCAGTTGTTTTTAATAAACCATTCGTAATGGGATGTAAACCATTTCCCAGAAACGAAAAACGAGAGACAAACGTTGTTCTATCAAATATATCTCAATCATATTTAAACCGATTTTGCATAATACTCTAAACTATAAGAAGATTTAGGTAAACTTTAATAATGCAGTTTACTCTTGGAAATGGTGTAGTCTATACTATATAATAAGACAAACCAGCCACCGTCGCGCTCCTACTCATTCAATTGAAAACAATTCAATCAGTGTTTGTCGTTCTGTGGCATGTATATCCCACATACACACATATCTATGGATATGTTGTAAGTAATATAATCAAGATACACTCATGCTCATATAGAGACTCATCAAATGTCATGAACCCCATGGTGACTGATATTGCACTTTAGTGCAAAATAACACCATCAGATTTCTGATGCTCGGTTTTAGTTTTTGTTTTATTATATTAGTTTAGTTTTAAGTTATTTTCTTGTGTTTATTTAATGTTAAATAGAACAAAACAAAAGGCAAATAATGTATTGGTATTTTCTTTTAAATTTCATGGAGATGAAACAAAAAGCAAAAACAGGAAGTATGAAAGAAACATACAATTTAATACTTTAAACAAAAGGATTAAGGGAAAAGAAGAATAAAAAGGATGAAGTATTTGTAACAGTATCCTTGACAAATTAACAATATAGAGAGTTGTAGTAAAGAGAGAAAGAGAGAGATAGCAATGAACATGAAAATAAACTTTAAACTGAAGATAAAATCTAAGCAAATTTCAGAACAGAACTAGAACAGAACTGAACTAGAACTGAACTAGAGCTGAACTATAGCTGAACTAGAAACTGAACTAGAACTGAACTAGAACTGAACTAGAACTGAACTAGAACTGAACTAGAACTGAACTAGAACTGAACTAGAGCTGAACTAGAACTGAACTAGAACTGACTAGAACTGAACGTGAACTGAACTAGAACTGAACTAGAACTGAACTAGAACTGAACTAGAACTGAACTAGAACTGAACTAGAACTGAACTAGAACTGAACTAGAACTGAACTAGAACTGAACTAGAACTGAACAAGAACTGAACTAGAACTGAACTAGAACTGAACTAGAACTGAACTAGAACTGAACTAGAACTGAACTAGAACTGAACTAGAACTGAACTAGAACTGAACTAGAACTGAACTGGAACAGAACTAGAACAGAACTAGAACAGAACTAGAACAGAACTAGAACAGAACTAGAACAGAACTAGAACAGAACTAGAACAGAAATAGAACAGAACTAGAACAGAACTAGAACAGAACTAGAACGGAACTAGAACAGAACTAGAACAGAACTAGAACAGAACTAGAACAGAACTAGAACAGAACTAGAACAGAACTAGAACAGAACTAGAACAGAACTAGAACTGGACTAGAACTGAACTAGAACTGAACTAGAACTGAACTGGAACTGAACTGGAACTGAACTAGAACTAGAACTGAACTAGAACTGAACTAGAACAGAACTAGAACAGAACTAGAACAGAACTAGAACAGAACTAGAACAGAACTAGAACAGAACTAGAACAGAACTAGAAGCAGAACTAGAGCAGAACTAGAACAGAACTAGAACAGAACTAGAACAGAACTAGAACAGAACTAGAACAGAACTAGAACAGAACTAGAACAGAACTAGAACAGAACTAGAACAGAACTAGAACAGAACTAGAACAGAACTAGAACAGAACTAGAACAGAACTAGAACAGAACTAGAACAGAACTAGAGCAGAACTAGAACAGAACTAGAACAGAACTAGAACAGAACTAGAACAGAACTAGAACAGAACTAGAACAGAACTAGAACAGAACTAGAACAGAACTAGAACAGAACTAGAACAGAACTAGAACAGAACTAGAACAGAACTAGAACAGAACAGAACAGAACTAGAACAGAACTAGAACAGAACTAGAATAGAACTAGAACAGAACTAGAACAGAACAGAACTAGAACGGAACTAGAACAGAACTAGAACAGAACTAGAACAGAACTAGAGCAGAACTAGAACAGAACTAGAACAGAACTAGAACAGAACTAGAACAGAACTAGAACAGAACTAGAACAGAACTAGAACAGAACAGAACTAGAACAGAACTAGAACAGAACTAGAACAGAACTAGAACAGAACTAGAACAGAACTAGAGCAGAACTAGAACAGAACAAGAACAGAACTAGAACAGAACTAGAACAGAACTAGAACAGAACTAGAACAGAACTAGAACAGAACTAGAACAGAACTAGAACAGAACTAGAACAGAACTAGAACAGAACTAGAACAGAACTAGAACAGAACTAGAACAGAACTAGAACAGAACTAGAACAGAACTAGAACAGAACTAGAACAGAACTAGAACAGAACTAGAACAGAACTAGAACAGAACTAGAACAGAACTAGAACAGAACTAGAACAGAACTAGAACAGAACTAGAACAGAACTGAAAAGGACTAGAACAGAACTAGAACAGAACTAGAACAAACTAGAACATATCTAGAACTAGAACTGAACTGGATTTTTTTTTTAATGTGAATGATTTTTCTTCTTTAATTCTCTTTTAAAAGTTGTAAAATATGTTGTAAAATCTAAATATTTATTTTAAATCCCAAAGAAAAGCCACTTGTTAATATAAAGAAAGTGTTATGTGATAGAAAACAAATGTTACATTTTATGTTTTTCACAAAATGTATCTCAACAAGCTGAAATACTAGAAATTTTATACTAACAAATCTTTAAATCCAGAAAACAAATACAAACGATTGTGTTTATAAAAAAATCAAACAATTTCTTCCCGTTTGTATACGGAATCATTTAAAGGGAATATGACTTCGTTTTCTGTTGTATGGTTTACATTTTTCAACGATTACTTTACAACTTTACGTAATGAGATTAAATAAACAATATCATTTAGATGAATGGAATAATTATTTTGTAATTCCATTAAAAGCGAAAATTCAAATGAGTAAAAATTAATTTTCTCATAATATTAAATAAAAAATTTGGGTTAAAATGTTGTTTTTGTTGGCTGCATAATTAAATGGCGAATGTATGTATGTTCATAGAATATCCCTAAACAGAAGTTATTTTTATGCGTTCCCATTATGAAAATATACACAACAACAACAAAAACATAGATATTTCTGAAAAATATGGATGGATGGACGGATGAGTGTGCGCTAAGAACTATGTTGCAAAAAACATTAAAGTATGTAGACGAAATAGTTGGATGGTACCAATTTCATTAAAAACTGTTTCCCTATGATAAACAAATTGACAATTCATTTGTGCACAGCCTTTATGTATGACGACATCACTTCTTCACTGGGAACTTTTGCTCTAAATGAAAGTGTAAATTTGAAAATTATAAAATAAAACAACAAACACAACAACACATTTTGGTACAAACCGCCAATTTTTCTATTTTACTTATTATTATATTGTTTTCTTTTAAGTCTGAAAAGCATAATTTATAAACAGACGGTCCGAAAACAATAAATAATAAAAATAAAATACTATTTTAGTTAAATATAGTAAATGCAAAACAACATACATATGTATGCCATTTTAAAAGGGAAAATATTCCGCGGGAAATGAGTTAAGTGACAGTTTTGAAATTAATCATTAAACACTATTATTGTTTTGTTAATTTTTTTATGTAATTGATATATTTTAAAATTTAAACACTTTTACAAATCAGTGATTTGCGATAAATATTTAATTACACAGTTGTTCATTTATTTATAGTTTTGTTTAATTAAGCGCAAGCAAGTAAAACTAAAAATTATTGAAAATTGTCTTTTGAGTTCTAGTCTTTCAGTTCTAGTTCAGTTCTAATTCAGTTCTAGTTCAGTTCTAGTTCAGTTCTAGTTCAGTTCTAGTTCAGTTCTAGTTCAGTTCTAGTTCAGTTCTAGTTCAGTTCTAGTTCAGTTCTAGTTCAGTTCTAGTTCAGTTCTAGTTCAGTTCTAGTTCAGTTCTAGTTCAGTTCTAGTTCAGTTCTAGTTCAGTTCTAGTTCAGTTCTAGTTCAGTTCTAGTTCAGTTCTAGTTCAGTTCTAGTTCAGTTCTAGATCAGTTCTAGTTCGTTCTAGTTCAGTTCTAGTTCTAGTTCTAGCTCAGTTCTAGTTCAGTTTCAGTTCAGTTCTAGTTCTGTTCTAGTTCTGTTCTAGTTCTGTTCTAGTTCTGTTCTAGTTCTGTTCTAGTTCTGTTCTAGTTCTGTTCTAGTTCTGTTCTAGTTCTGTTCTAGTTCTGTTCTAGTTCTGTTCTAGTTCTGTTCTGTTCTAGTTCTGTTCTAGTTCTGTTCTGTTCTAGTTCTGTTCTAGTTCTGTTCTGTTCTAGTTCTGTTCTAGTTCTGCTCTAGTTCTGTTCTAGTTCAGTTCTAGTTCAGTTCTAGTTCAGTTCTAGTTCAGTTCTAGTTCAGTTCTAGTTTCAGTTCTAGTTCAGTTCTAGTTCAGTTCTAGTTTAGTTCTAGTTCAGTTCTAGTTCAGTTTAGTTCAGTTCTAGTTCAGTTCTAGTTCAGTTCTAGTTCAGTTCTAGTTCAGTTCTAGTTCAGTTCTAGTTCAGTTCTAGTTCAGTTCTAGTACAGCTCTAGTTCAGTTCTAATGCAGTTCTAGTTCAGTTCTAGTTCAGTTCTAGTTTAGTTCTAGTTTAGTTCTAGTTCAGTTCTAGTTCAGTTCCAGTTCAGTTCTAGTTCAGTTCTAGTTCAGTTCTAGTTCAGTTCTAGTTCAGTTCTAGTTCAGTTCTAGTTCAGTTCTAGTTCAGTTCTAGTTCAGTTCTAGTTCAGTTCTAGTTCAGTTCTAGTTCAGTTCTAGTTCAGTTCTAGTTCAGTTCTTGTTCAGTTCTAGTTTAGAATATGGTGCAGTTCTGCTCTAGTACTGTTTTAGTTTTGTTTTAGTTCTATTCTAGCTCTGTTGTAGTTCAGTTCTAGGAGAATTGTGGTTCAATTCTAGCTTGCATTTCGAAATCTGTCTACAAACTTCAGAATCTTGGAATTTTCCTTAATATTTAATTTTGTTTACAAGAACCCATCCATTTTTAATCGCCCAAATAATCTTATTTTTATTAGCTCATTGAACCATCATATAATTTCAAAATTATTTCACTTTCACTAAACCTACAGAATTTATTGATGTCATTTGTAAATTAAAATGTAATATAAGAAAATATTTTTAAACACCTATTTGTATTTTCGATTTATTATGGCAGACTTTTCCCCAAATAATATTCAATGAGTAAATGTCAAAATATCTTAAAGAACATAAATAATAAACATAAAAAAAAAAAAATTTGGCAAACAAATTTCAATTATACTATTAAAAAACCAAAATTTAACAAAAACAAACAATTGGCATTAACCACAAGCGAATAATAAGAAACCTTCAATTACATTTAAATAATAAAATTTTGGAATTGAACTTGAATGGGATGGGAAATAAACTTACCCTGAACGGGCTCATTTTAAAAGTTACATGTTTTTGCAACATTTAGACACAAATAACAGTCTTAATTTTTTTATTTTGAATTCACATGTTGAACAAAATATTAAGAAGTTTATTATGATGATCGAAAGAACAAATTTTAACAAAAAATACTTGTTAAGAAATCAATAAATAATTAATTGAGTTAAAGTATAGAAAATTAAATTAGCTGCTCACTACACAACGTTCTATGAGATACTAAATGGAAGCAGATAAAATTAATTCAATACAGACTGCAAAAATAGAGAGATCATTGTTATCATAAACAGCATCATAAAGCTTAAATAACTTTAGCTAGGACTTTCACCTTTCGAAAAACTTTCACCTTTTTCATGTTTAAAACTTAAAGCTAAAAAGTTCTTATGTTTAAAACTCACCACACATGCTGTTCTCATTTGTTGTATTTGCATTTCTAAATCTCTTATACGTTTAACAGCTGCCTCTTCTACTCTTGAGTGTTTCGACAATTTATCCACCACACGCTGAACACCCTCCATGGTTAGAGAATGCTGGCGTGGTGAGGGATGTACTGGTGAACCCTGTGGTGGTGTTACTATAGTGGTTAGAAGAGATTGTGTCGCTTTACCCGCACCATGTACGGAAACATCTTCAGTTATACTTAAACTGCAAGAATTTGTATTTGAATGTATGGATTCGAGATTTTTAGTTTTTTGCTCGAGGGTATTTTCAATGTCACGCAATTGTTCTACCACTTGATCCATAATGATACTTTGTTCGGCTGAGGGACGTATATTTTGCAATTTTTCTTCCAACTGATTGATGTGCACCTGATAGTTTTGTTCTATTTCGGTTTTAAGACGTTGTACTTCACTCTGGAGGGTTTCATTGGAGCGTGATTGTGTGTTGATGAATTCCTCCAATTGCTAGAATGAAAATATAAAGGAAATGGCTTAAAACATGATTGTTAAGATTCGAGGAACTACAACTGAACTAGAACAGAACCAGAACCGAACTTGAACAGAACTAGAACAGAACTAGAACAGAACTAGAACAGAACTAGAACAGAACTAGAACAGAACTAGAACAGAACTAGAACAGAACTAGAACAGAACTAGAACAGAACTAGAACAGAACTAGAACAGAACTAGAACAGAACTAGAACAGAACTAGAACAGAACTAGAACAGAACTAGAACAGAACTAGAACAGAACTAGAACAGAACTGGAACAGAACTAGAACAGAACTAGAACAGAACTAGAACAGAACTAGAACAGAACTAGAACAGAACAAGAACAGAACTAGAACAGAACTAGAACAGAACTAGAACAGAACTAGAACAGAACTAGAACAGAACTAGAACAGAACTAGAACAGAACTAGAACAGAACTAGAACAGAACTAGAACAGAACTAGAACAGAACTAGAACAGAACTAGAACAGAACTAGAACAGAACTAGAACAGAACTAGAACAGAACTAGAACAGAACTAGAACAGAACTAGAACAGAACTAGAACAGAACTAGAACAGAACAAGAACAAGAACAGAACAAAACGGAACTAGAACAGAACTAGAACAGAACTAGTACAGGAACTAGAACAAAACTTGGATTGAACTAGAACTGAACTAGAACTGAACTAGAACTGAACTAGAACTGAACTAGAACTGAACTAGAACAGAACTAGAACAGAACTAGAACAGAACTAGAACAGAACTAGAACAGAACTAGAACAGAACTAGAACAGAACTACAACAGAACTACAACAGAACTACAACAGAACTAGAACAGAACTAGAACAGAACTAGAACAGAACTAGAACAGAACTAGAACAGAACTAGAACAGAACTAGAACAGAACTAGAACAGAACTAGAACAGAACTAGAACAGAACTAGAACAGAACTAGACAGAACTAGAACAGAACTAGAACAGAACTAGAACAGAACTAGAACAGAACTAGAACAGAACTAGAACAGAACTAGAACTAGAACAGAACTAGAACAGAACTAGAACAGAACTAGAACAGAACTAGAACAGAACTAGAACAGAACTAGAAACAGAACTAGAACAGAACTAGAACAGAACTAGAACAGAACTAGAACAGAACTAGACAGAACTAGAAGAACTAGAACAGAACTAGAACAAGAACTAGAACAGAACTAGAACAGAACTAGAACGAACTAGAACAGAACCGAACAGAACTAGAACAGAATAGAACAGAACTAGAACAGAACTAGAACAGAACTAGAACAGAACTAGAACAGAACTAGAACAGAACTAGAAACAGAACTAGAACAGAAACTAGAACAGAACTAGAACAGAACTAGAACAGAACTAGAACAGAACATAGAACTGAACTAGAACAGAACTAAAACAGAACTAGAACTGAACTAGAACTGAACTAGAACTGACCTAGAACTGAACTAGAACGAACTAGAAACTGAACTAGAACTGAACTAGAACTGAACTAGACGAACTGAACTACTAGAAACTGAACTAGAACTGAACTAGAAACTGAACTAGAACTGAACTAGAACTGAACTGAACTGAACTAGAACTGAACTAGAACTGAACTAGAACTGAACTAGAACTGAACTAGAACTGAACTAGAACTGAACTAGAACTGAACTAGAACTGAACTAATGAACTAGAACTGAACTAGAACTGAACTAGAACTGAACTAGAACTGAATTAGAACTGAACTAGAACAGAACTAGGACAGAACTAGAACAGAACTAGAACAGAACTAGAACAGAACTAGAACTGAACTAGAACTGAACTAGAACTGAACTAGAACTGAATTAGAACTGAACTAGAACTGAACTAGAACAGAACTAGAACAGAACTAGAACAGAACTAGAACAGAACTAGAACAGAACTAGAACAGAACTAGAACAGAACTAGAACAGAACTAGAACAGAACTAGAACAGAACTAGAACAGAACTAGAACAGAACTAGAACAGAACTAGAACAGAACTAGAACAGAACTAGAACAGAACTAGAACAGAACTAGAACAGAACTAGAACAGAACTAGAACAGAACAAAACGGAACTAGAACAGAACTAAAACAGAACTAGAACTGAACTAGAACTGAACTAGAACTGAACTAGAACTGAACTAGAAATGAACTAGAACTGAACTAGAACTGAACTAGAACTGAACTAGAACTGAACTAGAACTGAACTAGAACTGAACTAGAACTAGAACTAAACTAGATCTGAACTAGAACTGAATTAGAACTGAACTAGAACTGAACTAGAACTGAACTAAAACTATAATAGAACTAGAACCCGAACAGAACAGAAGTTTAAACAATATCTTACCTTAACCTTTTCACCCATGACATGTTCATTGAGTGCCTTAGTTTCCACTTGGGTCTCGAGGTCTGAAATAATTTCACGCAATACAAAGATCTTATCGATGGAAGCTTTCAATTCAACCTCAAATTTGTCACGTTTTGTAGACGATTCTTGCAGTTTTTGAGTCAAATCACGGATTTGTGTTTCCAAGTTCTCAACCTAAACAAAAATTACCAAAGAAAACCGAAATTATAAATATTTTTATGAATTAATTAAAACAAAAATTATACTAAACAAATTTTGAATTAGTGACTAAAACAACTTACATTTAGTTTAAAACTTTTTTGATTGTAGCGTGCAAAAACAAAAATTTTTTGTTGTTAGTTAAAAGAAAATACATTTGTTGTTAGTGCTTTTAATTTTAAAAACACAAAATATTTAAAAGATTTTGTTAAAAATGAAATCAAAATTAGTTGGACTAAAAGAAAAAAGACAGTGATTAATTTAAAATTAACTAATTCCCCCCTGGTAATAAGTAAAGAGGCTGATAGATATTGTGTGTGTTAGACCCCCTTTTGTATGTTGGGGACTATTTGTTTGTGTATTTTATTTTTAACCTTGAATTCGTTACATTCGAAATGAAACAAAGAAAATTTAAAATTCTAAAAACTTTTCCTCCAAAATATTAAAACAAAAGATTATTGTGTGAAATATTTACAGCAGGTGTTCTTAGAATATACACAGTTTTTGTCTATTTGTTTATTTATTTGTATTAACTTAAATGTTTATAATTATATATGGGGTATTAGCAAAATATCAAATAAAAACATATATTGTTAATCAATTAACCAAAACAAGTTCAAAAGAAGTCATGCAAAATTAAGTTGAAATAAAATAAATAAATAATTCCATATAAAGAGTTTTAAACTTAAAATTAAATAAATATAAATAAAAAGAGCTTTAAAGCACATAAACGGAAAATTGGTAAAGAAGCTTAAAAGTTTATTAGAAATTTGAATTACAAAAACTTTTAGTTCAGTTATGTTCTATTCTAGTTTTGTTTTAGTTCTGTTCTAGTTCTGTTCTAGTTCTGTTCTAGTTCTGTTCTAGTTCTGTTCTAGTTCTGTTCTAGTTCTGTTCTAGTTCTGTTCTAGTTCTGTTCTAGTTCTGTTCTAGTTCTGTTCTAGTTCTGTTCTAGTTCTGTTCTAGTTCTGTTCTAGTTCTGTTCTAGTTCTGTTCTAGTTCTGTTCTAGTTCTGTTCTAGTTTGTTCTAGTTCTGTTCTAGATCTGTTCTAGTTCTGTTCTAGTTCTGTTCTAGTTCTGTTCTAGTTCTGTTCTAGTTCTGTTCTAGTTCTGTTCTAGTCTGTTCTAGTTCTGTTCTAGTTCTGTTCTAGTTCTGTTCTAGTTCTGTTCTAGTTCGTTCTAGTTCTGTTCTAGTTTTGTTCTAGTTTGTTCTAGTTCTGTTCTAGTTCTGTGCTAGTTCAGTTCTAGTACTGTTCTAGTTCTGTTCTAGTTCTGTTCTAGTTCTGTTCTAGTTCTGTTCTAGTTCTGTTCTAGTTCTGTTCTAGTTCTGTTCTAGTTCTGTTCTAGTTCTGTCTAGTTCTTTCTAGTTCTGTTCTAGTTCTGTTTAGTTCTGTTCTAGTTCTGTTCTAGTTCTGTTCTAGTTCTGTTCTAGTTCTGTTTCTAGTTCTGTTCTAGTTCTGTTCTAGTTCTGTTCTAGTTCTGTTCTAGTTCTGTCTAGTTATGTTCTAGTTCTGTTCTAGTTCTGTTCTAGTTCTGTTCTAGTTCTGTTCTAGTTCTGTTAGTTTGTTTCTAGTTCTGTTCTAGTTCTGTTCTTAGTTCTAGTTCTAGTTCTGTTCTAGTCTGTCTGTTCTAGTTCTTAGTTTCTGTTCTAGTTCTGTTCTAGTTCTGCTAGTCGATAGTTTGTTCTAGTCTGTTCTAGTTCTAGTTTAGTCTAGAGTTCGTTATAGTTCTGTTCTAGTTCGTTTAGTTTATGTTCTAGTTCGTTCTAGTTTTGTTCTGTTCAGTTCTGTTCTAGTTCTGTTCTAGTTCTGTTTAGTTTGTTCTAGTTCTGTTCTGTTCGTTGTTCTGTTCTAGTTTGTTCTAGTTCTGTTCTAGTTTGTTCTAGTCTGTTTAGTTCTGTTCTAGTTCTGTTCTAGTTCTGTTCTAGTTCTGTTCTAGTTCTGTTCTCGTTCTGTTCTAGTTCTGTTCTAGTTCTGTTCCAGTTCTGTTCTATTCTGTTCTAGTTCTGTTTTCTAGTTTCTGTTCTAGTAGTTCTGTTCTAGTTCTGTTCTAGTTTGTTTCTAGTTCTGTTCTAGTTCTGTTCAGTTCTGTTCTAGTTCTGTTCTAGTTTTTGTTATAGTTTTCTGTTCTAGTTCTGTAGTAGTTCTTTTCTAGCTCTGTTCTATTTCTAGTTCAGATTTAGTGCCAATCTAGTCCTGTAATATAAAAAGCATTAAGTTTATATTGAAAGCATTTTAACTACTCACTACAGAAGCTTTCCAATGATATACATCACCAAACTACTAAAAAGCTGTAAAAGTTTTAACTTAACTTTAAAGCTTTTAACCAATATCTGAATGTGCTTTTAAGCTTAACAAATGAAATTTTATACAAATAACTATAAAAATAGATAAATTATATAAAATACATACAAAATCATATAAAATTTGAAACAATAAACTTAAAAATCTTAAATCCAGGACTGTTCCCACTTCCTATAAAACTTTGCCAAGAGATACTGATTATGGGGAAAAATCTTTACACAAAGCTTTACATAGTGGGAACTTTACCAATTTTAAAGTAAATAAAAAAAATCCAAACCAATTCAATTAAATAATAAAAAAATATTCAAACTCATGACAAAAGAAGGCAACATAACAAATCCATAACCAAGAAAAGAAAAACAAGAATCCATCCCATTTTAGTTGAAAGTATAAAATTATAAAGAAAACAAAACCAAAGAACGTAAAGTTGCTTCAAATCATAAACATTTTTTGTTTGAATGTACAAAATTAGAATAGACTCACCTCCTCAGAGGCATTTGCATAGGAGCTGCGTTCTTTTTCTTTATCCCTTAATTGAGCTTTTAGATTTTCGATTTCCTTCATAAACTCATCACGTTCCTGTTCACGTTCAGCGGCCTGTTCATCCAGAAATTGGCGTGTGGCCTTTAATTGCTTATCGGCCGTTATAATCTGAGATTTTGTTTGTTTAAGTGAGGAAGTTTAAGTTTTGATATACATATAATTTTTAATATATAAATAAGAAATATATACCTAGAATCTAGGACTTAGATATTTGATATTACTTAGAATAATAATAATAATACTTAACCCGATAATAAATAAAAAAGCAATGATACGGAATATGTTCAAAAATATTTACAATGTAGATCGCAAGATTTCAGTATAGAGATTTCAGAAGATACCAATTGCACTTTTCTAGAAAAAAAACTGTGAATGATCAGTTACTGATCAACACAACTCTTATATAGAAAACATGTGATCAGTAACTGATCAACAACTTTTCTATAGGAATAGTGTGTGATCCGTTACTGATCATGAACTTTTTTATAGGAAAAGTATGATTCGTTACTGATCATGGAAAAGTATAGGAAAAGTATGATACGTTATTGATCATGAACTTTTCTTTAGAAAAGTATGATCAGTTACGTATAATGAACTTTTCTTTAGGACAAGATCAGTTACTGATCATGAACTTTTATAGAATAAACGTATGATCAGTTACTGATCATCAACTTTTCTATAGGAAATGTATGATCAGTTAATGATCATGAACTTTTCTATAGGAAAAGTATGATCAATAACTGATCATAAACTTTTCTTTAGGAATAGTATGATCAGTTACTTATCATGAACTTTTCTATAGGAAAAGTATCATCAGTTACTGTTCAAGAACTTTTCTATAGAAGAAGTATGTGATCAGTTACCGATCATGAATTTTTTTATAGGAAAAGTATGATTAGTTACTAATGATGAACTTTTTTTATAGAAAGAGTATGATCAGTTACTGATAATGAGCTTTTCTTTAGGACAAGATCAGTTGCTGAACATGAACTTTTATAGAATAATCGTATGATCAGTTACTGATCATGAACTTTTCTGGATGAAAAGTATGATCAGTTACTTATCATGAACTTTTCTATAGGAAAAGTATGATCAGTTATTTATCATGAACTTTTCTATAGGAAAAGTATGATCAGTTACTGATCATGAGCTTTTCATTAGGAAAAGTATGATCAGTTACTTATCATGAACTTTTCTATAGGAAAAGTGTATGATCAATTACTGATCATGAACTTTTCTATAGGAAAAGTGTATGATCAGTTACTGATCATGAACTTTTCTATAGGAAAAGTGTATGATCAGTTACCGGTCAAGAACTTTTCTATAGGAAAAGTGTGTGATCAGTTACTCATCATGAACTTTTCTATAGGAAAAGTGTGTGATCAGTTACTCATCATGAACTTTTCTATAGGAAAAGTGTATGATCAGTTACTGATCATGAACTGTATAGGAATAGAAGCCTAAAGCTATATATTTTTAAGCAAATAAGACTAAAGTTTTGACAAAATTAAAGAAAGTTTGAGATCTTTGCTGAAGATCTTTTCTATATCGTTACACCGTCCAACACCATTTTTCACACACGAACCAAACCATATACATACGAAAGCACATAATTTATGTGGAATAACTGCGTACTCAGTTTTTCATTTTCTGATCGTTTGTCCTTTTTAAAGGACTTTAAAATTTGAGGTACATACAATTTTCAAAAATTTTTATAAAATATTTTAGCCACCCTATTATAACAATATGGATATCAAACTAAAGAGGACAATTGCAGTATTTATATCTCGTATTTTGTTTTATTTTTTAAGAATAAAAAGATGTAAAAAATATCCTTATAAAAGTTTATCCTTTATTATCCTTGAAATTTTATACAAAATTGTTCAACAAAAAATATTCATAATAAAGACATTAGAATGGAGTACAAAAGTCTGAAATTTGGTCTTCATAGCTAAATTTGTTTAATTTTTATAATTTTTTTTTAAATATCTCAATAAATAAATTAATAAAATTTTCCCCTCTGAAAATTTCAAAGTCCTTTTTTTGTTAAAATATTATGTAGAAAAATGAGAAATTTGATATTGTGGAACCGAGTTTCTTTATCTCTATGATAAAAAGTTAAAAAAGTGGAAACTTTGAAGAATATGAAAGGATAAAAATCGATTAAGGATATCTTGCATTTTTTATCCTTTCATGTTAAAACTACCTTCTGGGGAAGTATATTTTCCTTTTTAATTTAACACAATTATTCCGAATTCTATAGCTATTCTAAATTCCATATATCTTTTAAAAATATCTTTGACCTCCCAATAATGTTTTCAAAGTAGTTTATTATATAGTTTTCATTAAATATACAAAAGGGCGAAGGTATATCATGTGCAATTAGTAAACCACGATATAGATAAATATTTAAACAAGTAGGAAAGTATAACCGGACTGGGCCGACCATATGATACCCTACACCAGTTGTGAGTTTATTTAAAATGTGATTTACTTTAGCAAATAAAATATTTATGTTGAATTTTATTTCAATTGCGACATATTGAAGAAAAACTAATTTTTTGAAAGTGGCTTCATATAGGGGCTAGAGTCAAATATAGATTAAAGGCCTGCACCTTTATAAGTCAATTATGGAAGTTCAAGCCATATTTTACTATTATAATTTGTATTTATAATAATATTGCGCTTATCATATTATCCTGAAGTCGATTTTAGATTTCGGAACATGCATGTTTTAATCACTAAACCGTCACACAGTGGGGCAGAATGGAAATTTTTTGGAAATAAATCTGGCATTTCTAAACGGCTGATCCGATCGGGATAAAATTTGGCGTGAGCGTAGCCAAGGAGTATTCGAGTTTAAGTTTTGAAGATGAACCCTGCAGATGCCCCAGGGACGGCGCTGTGGCGGCTCAAAGTAGGGTACCTACGACATGTAAAATTTTTAAACTCGTGCCATTTTTTTGTTTTTCACCCAAATACAAAGATTTTTATATTTTGTGAAAGCGCTCGACGAGATCTTGAAAAAACATACTACTTATCTCTTATAATATCCGAGTTATAGGCATTTAAAAATTTAGTGATACAAAATTTACCATACCTTGGTCCGCCTTTTTTGAATATCGGGCGTAATTTTGGACCAAATGGACTCAATTTTTTCTTATTAGTTAGACAACAAAATTTCCAATAATATACAAAAAATTTCAGATCAATATTATTTACAGATCCAAAAATATACGTTTTTTAATTTAAAAATTCAAAAAATTTTAGATTTTTGGCGTTTTTTTGCCAAAAATGTGTCTTAACTCTTTTATTAAAAAAATAAAATTTTTATTAAGAACATATAACAATTTTATAGTTTACTAAAAGGTATCTTTACGCAGAACGCTTTGGCGTAAAAAACTTGTCCTATTTTTTGAAAATGTTGCCACTGCGTCCTTCCGAATATGACCTATTTTTTATCAAAACTTCAACTTTGGGCGACATGTTCTAAAATCCCAAAGCTGGGATCAGAAAACTGAAAGCAGTTTTGGAAACCTCAATATGTTTTCTATTTACTCCAAAAGTATTTTCCCAGCCCTGAAAGAAATGTGGACCCTATGGGCAAAAAAGTAAAAAATCCCATTTTTGGGATTTTCATTCCTATTTTTGGGAATTGCGGGATGCCCTTTGACCTTTTCAATTTTTTTTTGCATATTCTTATTTGAAATGACAAATTTAACAAGCGTTGAAAATTTCATTGAGTTTTGTTCATAAATAAAGATTTTGTCATATATTACATATTTGTTTAATTTCTAAAACTATGATTTATATCAAAATTTTAATAGGATCGCAGATAGCTACAACAATTTAGTCCATATTTATCCCTTAATATCATTTTTTAGTTAGATATGGAAATTCTCGACCCTTTACAGAAAATTTCAAGCCAATATCTCAATTACATTCAAAAATATGTTCATTTAAACCTGTGTCCTTTAATTTCATCTTTTTCATATTTTAGTATTAAGTATGACAGCACATATTTAAATCTTATATTTACCTATTTGTTTGCTTATCCTTATAATGCTTATGCTTAAATTTTCAAAAATTTATAACTATTTTTTACCTAAATTTTTTCGACAGATCATTTCGTTCTGTTTCGTTTATGATCATGTAGGTAAAAATATACAGGTAATGATAATTTCGATTCATTCACTAATAAGAAATATCAATGACTGAATTACAGGTTATAGTAATATAGTCCTAAATGTTAATAGATAGACAATTCGTAATTTTTTACTTTGGAATACCTGTATCGGAAATGACAAGAATTGGTATATAAGTAAACTTCTCAGATTTTAAGTACCATATTTAATAAATCTACAATGAAGATTACATTAAAGTACGAAGAGTTGTGTTCCGTTTTATGGAGTATATCTTCAAAAGGGCCAGAAAGAATTGAAGACATTTCAAATTATATAAAAACTACATATAGTAGAAAAGTAGACAAAACAGGCATATCAAAAATTGAAAACTTTTTAAAACTTTTTGATGTAAAAAGTAAGTCTGTGGATGGAAATCAAAAGAAATTTCGATTAAAATTTTGTAGTTGGATGGAAACTACTACGGAAATCTCAACTTACAACACATCAATAGGAGCGCCTTGCAAGTCATACGAAGACTTATGTTCAAGGTAAAAAAAGAGGGTCACACAAAAACTTTTTTCAATCTCAAATGAGGAAATTGCTGATACATTTAACGAAATGCTGAAAAAGGAAAACCAACATATGGATGTCGTACATATTGCAACTATTCTTCCTAATGCATCACCAAAACGACTTAAGCGAATTGTGGAAAGTATACCAACTCCAACATCATAATCAAATTTTACTGAAGAGGAAGCAATAGCGCTTATGTTGGAACTGGGTCTCAGTCGAAATAAGTACCAAATATTAAGGAAAGCTCTGCATGAAAAAGGACACAATATATTACCATCATACAAGGCGATCCAGGAAAAAAAAAACAAATTATCCTACTAAATCAACAAAAAATAATGAAGAATTGAGAGCTGCGGAAAAAAGCAGAATCCAAGAAGAATTTAAAGTTCAGATGGGATTAAACATCGACAAACCACTTTCAAGTTGCGGTAGTACAAATGACGGTAATACGTCGAGAAGGTTTTTTCGTGATTTTGAAATTACTTCAAAAATAACTGGAATCGACAAGGAGTTGCTTCGAAGAGTTAAAACTATTTTAATGGCACTGAATAGTAAACATAAAATTAATGAAAATCGATTTGGGGAATACACATCTGAAATTTCTAAATTACTTGTATCTCTGTATCCATGGAGGGAACTAACACCAACAGTACACAAAGTATTGTGTCATGGTCAAATAATAATTGAATCGAATATTCTTCCACTTGGAGAGTTAACAGAAGAAGCCCAGGAAGCGAGGAATCGAGATTTTAAGCATGTTCAACTATTCAGCTCAAGAAAATGTTCCAGGCAATCACAGAATGAAGATATTTTTAATAGTTTACTTCTATCTTCTGATCCTGTTCTTTCAACTATGCGAAAAAGATGGATTTGTTATGAAACTCTATCATCTCAAAACAAGGAAGATTTAAAGGACTTATATTACCTTCTGGATATGTATACCGATATGACAGATTATTTTATAGAAAATAAGTAGTGTTAGGAATTAACTATATAAGTAGGTTGTAAGAATTAATTGTATTATGTTTAAGATAAACAGTTCAAATAAAAAAAGCTATTATACTAACTGATGATATTGTATTAAATTGTGTTTTATATTTCGGTGGGCGGGAAAGGTAATTTGTGTGGGGTGATTTAGGTGTTGTTGTGCGTGGCTCATAATAAAATTATAATTTTTTTATTTTATATACAATATTATAATAAAATAATTAACTACATAATTTTTAAAAATTGTCCAAATATTTTATTCAACACCAAATGTATGTTCTGTCATACTTAATACTAAAATATGAAAAAGATGAAATTAAAGGACACAGGTTTAAATGAACATATTTTTGAATGTAATTGAGATATTGGCTTGAAATTTTTTGTAAAGGGTCGAGAATTTCCATATCTAACTAAAAAATGATATTAAGGGATAAATATGGACTAAATTGTTGTAGCTATCTGCGATCCTATTAAAATTTTGATATAAATCATAGTTTTAGAAATTAAACAAATATGTAATATATGACAAAATCTTTATTTATGAACAAAACTCAATGAAATTTTCAACGCTTGTTAAATTTGTCATTTCAAATAAGAATATGCAAAAAAAAATTGAAAAGGTCAAAGGGCATCCCGCAATTCCCAAAAATAGGAATGAAAATCCCAAAAATGGGATTTTTTACTTTTTTGCCCATAGGGTCCACATTTCTTTCAGGGCTGGGAAAATACTTTTGGAGTAAATAGAAAACATATTGAGGTTTCCAAAACTGCTTTCAGTTTTCTGATCCCAGCTTTGGGATTTTAGAACATGTCGCCCAAAGTTGAAGTTTTGATAAAAAATAGGTCATATTCGGAAGGACGCAGTGGCAACATTTTCAAAAAATAGGACAAGTTTTTTACGCCAAAGCGTTCTGCGTAAAGATACCTTTTAGAAAACTATAAAATTGTTATATGTTCTTAATAAAAATTTTATTTTTTTAATAAAAGAGTTAAGACACATTTTTGGCAAAAAAACGCCAAAAATCTAAAATTTTTTGAATTTTTAAATTAAAAAACGTATATTTTTGGATCTGTAAACAATATTGATCTGAAATTTTTTGTATATTATTGGAAATTTTGTTGTCTAACTAACAAGAAAAAATTGAGTCCATTTGGTCCAAAATTACGCCCGGTATTCAAAAAAAGGCGGACCAAGGTATGGTAAATTTTGTATCACTAAATTTTTAAATGCCTATAACTCGGATATTATAAGAGATAAGTAGTATGTCCAAGCATGTTTTTTCAAGACCTCGTCGAGCGCTTTCACAAAATATAAAAATCTTTGTATTTGGGTGAAAAACAAAAAAATGGCACGAGTTTAAAAATTTTACATGTCGTAGGTACCCTACTTTGAGCCGCCACAGCGCCGTCCCTGGGGCATCTGCAGGGTTCATCTTCAAAACTTAAACTCGAATACTCCTTGGCTACGCTCACGCCAAATTTTATCCCGATCGGATCAGCCGTTTAGAAATGCCAGATTTATTTCCAAAAAATTTCCATTCTGCCCCACTGTGCGTCATAATCACACGAAATAAAATGTTATATATTTTAAGGCCTGTTATCTCAACCTCCGGTTATCGTTTAAATGGTAGATATTCAGCCTGAAGACTGTCAATTTAACGTTATTACAAAAAATTAACAGACATTTAGATAAGAACTCCATTAAGCAACTGGTATAAATAATAAATTTACAAAATATTTTCAACAAACATATTTTTTAATTTGAATATAACATAACTTTAAAATTTTTTTACAAAAAACTAATAAAGATAAGAACATGAAATTATGGATTCTGGAACTCCATATTATTAAATTTGTCATATATTTTTTTCTAAAAAAACTGACTATAAAAAATAGGGATATTAAAGGATTAAAATTTTAAAGGACATTTTTTTCGTTTTTTTATTCCAACATTTTAAAACTATTTTATTCGTAAAAATACTGTTGTTCTCCTCTTTCAGTGGATACCCATATTGACCCACTACACCAAACCAAATTTTAGCTAAATATAATTATACCTACTCTTCCTTTCAAACTTTAAAGTCCTTTTAAAGGAAGAAACGATCAGAAAATAAAAAACCGAAAATGTAGTATAACTATATCAAGTATGTAGTTTCGAATGTATATGGTCTTGCTCATGTGTGCAACAATTTTTCCCAATTTGTTGTACGGTGTTATATATCCTCAAACTACATTTGTTTTGCTAGTTATTACAGGGCATGCTCACACTTTATCGTTACGATATTTACTTTTTGCAACAGTATTTACAAAACTACTTGATTTTTTTTCACATTTAAAAAGTAAAAACTTACCTGGGACTGTAAATCTTCACGATCTTTTTTACTGCATTCCACCACTTTATCACCCTCACGGCAAAAATCTTCAATCATTTGCAGTAGCTGGACAGTAGAATCATTATTCTGTTGTTTCTGAGTAGGAGTCGATAGAATATTTCTGGCCTTTTCCTGCAACAAAGCAAAACTGGAGGAAGAATGTTCGGAGTGAGATAAACGTTGAGGAGATTTCATGGAACCCAAGCCATAACCTTCATTATATTCTACATTATTTAAAGAACTTAAATGTGACAATTGATCTCTTAAATGCTGCAGTTCTTGTCCCAAATCTGAGTTACGTGATATGGTATGATCTAATTCTTGTTGTAGACGCAAACGATCATTTTCAGATTTAACCAAACGATTTTTTAATTCTACCAATTGGAAATTCAATTCAGAGGCATTATTAGTACTGCAGGAGTTATTATCCAAATAGAATTTATTTAGATCGGGTGGTAGAGAAGTAAGATTTTGAGCTTGTTGTATGAGAGAAGATTGGTGAGTGGGTAATTGTTGTTCATTTAGCGAATTAACACGTATAAATTTACGTTGTTGTTGCATTTTCAAACCATCCTCTTGTTCACTATCATGTTTCTCACGCTCACTAGAGAAACTTTCTCTTCTCTCTTTGCTGTCATGTTTCTTTACTACTTCCTCCGATAAATGCAACAGGAAAGAAGCTTCTGATCTTAAACGTTCTAAACAATCTTTAAGATCAAAATCTTCACTAATATCAGCATTTTTCTCACTAACATACTGCACCAAACTAGGATCTTCTACTACTTCCAGCAGACTTTGTACATCTGGTATCATACGTAATTTACTGGTATTTAAAGTATCATTTATCAGGGAGGAATTAAGGGTAAAGTCTTCCAGAGCATGTTCTTCTAGGGTACGATTACAGGATAAAAGACGTTGTACTTCTTCAGCTAAGTTTTCAGTTATATCATTTTCACAGTTAGCTACACACTTCAGCAATTCAGAGAGTACTTGTCTGAAAGCTTTTGACAACTCACGCAAACTGTCACGTTCACTGAGTAGTTTGTCAAAATCGCGTACAGAATCAAACGTAGAATGACGTTTGTTCTTGCGATTTAGTTGTTTTTCATAGTCTTGCTTTAAGCGAGACATCTGGAAGAGAGAGAACAGAACATAAATAATATAAAGAGAATAAAATTTTTACAAATAGAGAATCTCTATAGAAATGTAGTTGATCAGTAATTGATCACACACACTTTTCTTATAGGAAAGTTGTTGATCAGTAGCTGATCTCACATTTTCCTATAGAAAAGTTGTTGATCAATAACTGATCACACAATCTTCCTGTAGAAAAGTTGTTGATCAGTAACTGATCTCACACTTTCCTATAGAAAAGTTGTTGATCAGTAACTGATCACACTCTTTTCTTCACACTTTCCTATAGAAAAGTTGATGATCAGTAACTGATCTTACACTTTCCCATAAAAAAGTTGTTGATCAGTAGCTGATCTCACATTTTCCTATAGAAAAGTTGTTGATCAGTAACTGATCACACTTTTCCTTTAGAAAAGTTGTTGATCAGTAACTGATCACACTTTTCCTTTAGAAAAGTTGTTGATCAGTAACTGATCACACACTTTTCCTATAGTAAAGTTGCTGATCAGTAACTGATCACACTCTTTTCCTCACACTTTCCTATAGAAAAGTTGCTGATCAGTAACTGATCTCACACTTTCCTATAGAAAAGTTGCTGATCAGTAACTGATCTCACACTTTCCTATAGAAAAGTTGCTGATCAGTAACTGATCTCACACTTTCCTATAGAAAAGTTGTTGATCAGTAACTGATCACACACTTTTCCTATTGTAAAGCTGCTGATCAGTAACTGATCACACTCTTTTCCTCACACTTTCCTATAGAAAAGTTTTTGATCAGTAACTGATCACAGACTTTTCCTATAGAAAAGTTGTTGATCAATAACTGATCACACAATCTTCCTGTAGAAAAGTTGTTAATCAGTAACTGATCTCACACTTTCCTATAGAATATTTGTTGATCAATAACTGATCACACACTTTTCCTGTAGAAAAGTTGTTGATCAGTAACTGATCTCAAACTTTCCTATAGAAAAGTTGTTGATTAGTAACTGATCTCAAACTTTCCTATAGAAAAGTTGTTGATCAGTAACTGATCTCAAACTTTCCTATAGAAAAGTTGTTGATCAGTAACTGATCTCAAACTTTCCTATAGAAAAGTTGTTGATCAGTAACTGATCTCAAACTTTCCTATAAAAAAGTTGTTGATCAGTAACTGATCTCAAACTTTCCTATAGAAAAGTTGTTGATCAGTAACTGATCTCAAACTTTCCTATAGAAAAGTTGTTGATCAGTAACTGATCTCAAACTTTCCTATAGAAAAGTTGTTGATCAGTAACTGATCTCAAACTTTCCTATAGAAAAGTTGTTGATCAGTAACTGATCTCAAACTTTCCTATAGAAAAGTTGTTGATCAGTAACTGATCTCAAACTTTCCTATAGAAAAGTTGTTGATCAGTAACTGATCTCAAACTTTCCTATAGAAAAGTTGTTGATCAGTAACTGATCTCAATCTTTCCTATAGAAAAGTTGTTGATCAGTAACTGATCTCAAACTTTCCTATAGAAAAGTTGTTGATCAGTAACTGATCTCAAACTTTCCTATAGAAAAGTTGTTGATCAGTAACTGATCTCAAACTTTCCTATAGAAAAGTTGTTGATCAGTAACTGATCCCAATTTTCCTTTAAAAAAGTTGTTAATCACTAACTGATCATACACTTTTCCTTTAAAAAAGTTGTTGATCATTACACGATCACTCTAATTTATTAACATACCTCATCAGCATGTTTAATTTGTAATTGTGCAATTTCCAATTGACTTTTAGCCGTAAATTTCTCTCTCAATAATATTAATTCTTTGGGCCAATGTTGATCATCTGTTGTTGATTCCGATAATAATGTCTGCAATGAAAGAACAAAAAAAATAGGACACAAAAAATAAGTTTTAATATTAAAACGGAAATGCAGCAAAATAAATAAATTATGGAAAAAATTTTAATCCCCATAAAAGTTTATAGTTTTTACAATAAAATAATGTTATTTTTAGTTCTTTTAAATTTGTTTTATTTATATTTTTACAACAGCAGCAAGAAAAAAAGAGAAAAGTTTATTTTATGATTATGGCAGGCTGTGAAATATTCTGGAAAGATGGGAATATATTTTGTTTGTGATGATCATGACGGAAATGTGTGTAAAGTTTTGGTTGGTGAAGTGTTGTAGGTTGGGCTATATGAATTGTTTGGAGCTTTTACTGATAAACATATGAGTTACATATGGTGTTGTAGGAATATTAAAGGAGTTGAAAAAGAAGTGATATTTGTCTGATAGTAAAGAAAAGGGGTTTAAAACGATTTTTTATAAGTTTTTAATAGTCAATAAAAGTTTTTCTATTGTTTAACTAAAGATTTTGTTAGAAAGTGGAAAGTTTTTCTTGGTTACATGAAAGACAATAACATTAGCTTTTATATAGCAAAATATTTTTGAAATCCCTTAATATATGTCTTTGCTAAAGGGCCTCAAACTTTGAATAATTTCAAACTTTTTGAAAATTTTTATAATTTTAGAATTTTTTTCAAATCTCTCAAAATTTGCGTTTTGCCAAAAAGCTGAACATTTTTCTAGGTTATATAATAGAAGATCACATTAGCTGTCATATAGCAAAATATTTTTCAAATCCCTTAATATATGACTTTGCTAAAGGCCCTCAAACTTTGAATAATTTCATACTTTTTTAAAATTTTTATAATTTTAGAATTTATTTTCAAATCTCTCAAAATTGGTGTTTTTGCAAAAAAGTGCAACATTTTTCTAGGTTATATGAAAGACGGGAACTTTAGCTATTATATAGCAAAATATTTTTAAAATCCCTAAATATATATTGTTTCTAAAGGCCTTCAAACTTTGAATAATTTCATTGTTTTAGAAGTTATTTTCAAATCTCTCAAAATTGGCGTTTTTGTTAAAAAGTGTAAACTCTTTCATGGTTATATGATAGATAATAACATTAGCTTTTATATAGCAAAATATTTTTCAAATCCCTTAATATATGTCTTTGCTAAAGGCCCTCAAACTTTGACTAATTTCAAACTTTTTGAACATTTTTATAATTTTAGAATTCATATTCAAATCTCTTAAAATTGGCGTTTTGCCAAAAAGTGGTAAGTTTCTCTTGGTTATATGATAGAAGATAACATTAGCTTTTATATAGCAAAATATATTTCAAATCCCTTAATATATATTGTTTCTAAAGGCCCTCAAACTTTGAAAAATTCATAGTTTTAGGAGTTATTTTCAAATCTCTCAAAATTGGGGTTTTTGCTAAAAAAGGAAAATTTGTCAAAGTTATATGATAGTAGATCACATTAGCTTTTATATAGCAAAATATTTTTCAAATCCCTTAATATATGTCTTTGCTAAAGGCCCTCAAACTTTGAATAATTTCAAACTTTTCGAAAATTTTTATAATTTTATAATTCATATTTAAATCTCTTAAAATTGGCGTTTTGCCAAAAAGTGGTAAGTTTTTCTTGGTTATATGATAGAAGATAACATTAGCTTTTATATAGCAAAATATATTTCAAATCCCTTAATATATAATGTTTCTAAAGGCCCTCAAACTTTGAATAATTTCATTGTTTTAGGAGTTATTTTTAAATCTCTCAAAATTGGGGTTTTTGCTAAAAATGGAAAATTTGTCAAAGTTATATGATAGTAGATCACATTAGCTTTTATATAGCAAAATATTTTTCAAATCCCTTAATATATGTCTTTGCTAAAGGCCCTCAAACTTTGAACATTTTTATATTTTTAAGATTTTTTTTTTTCAATATTTCAATTTCCTCATTTCTTTGTTTTAATACCCTCTATAAGCAGTAAATTAATATAGATTTTCCTTTTTATAAAACGCCATAAAAGAAAATTTTTAAATATTTATAAAAAAATATGCAAATTAAATTAATCAAAGACGTCAATCAACAGCAATCGTTAAGAAAAAAAACATTTTAAAATACTTCTATATATAAAAAATTATAAAAATCAAAAACCAATTAAATAATGAGCCAATAAAATGTTTGTTTCTTATTTTCAAGAAAATGTCGATGCCTTCAATACCATTTGTCAGGGTTAAGTTTATGGTTACGATTGCTAAAAGTTGCCCCAAACACTTTTCAGTAGGAGAGCGACCGGCCAACTTTAAAATTAAATTTGAAATTTAGACGCCGTTAAATTTTTTTTTAAATTCATAACGTTTCTGTCCATCCTACAAACTAATAAACCATCAAAAAAACTCAAATGTTCAACATTTGTTATTATTTATCATATAAATCAATTTCAATTTAATTTTGTTTAAGTAAATTTGTGTTTTTTGCTACTCAAAATCTTTAACAATAATAATAATAAATTTTTTTTTATTAGAAACTGTTTTGTCATATAAACATTTATAATAAAACTATAGAGAGCGGCGAGACTCCCAAAGTAGTTCACACAAAAAGCAGAACTTTTTTAATTAAGAAATGTGCTGATGGATGACCCACAAAACTCAAAACTACTACTTCAACATAAATATTTGAAAATGGAGCCGAGCAGCCATATTTCTACACATGTTTTCTAATGTTTAGTTGAAAACGTATTTCATGTTTCTTCCCCTTCTTTCTTAACACATACATATGTTTTATTTCTTTTTTATAAACGTTAAACGTCAAATAAACTTCTTTACAGCAAAAGAACAACAACTTGACAGGTAGTTTGACTTTTAAACTGTCAAATTTTCTTTAGACACTTGAGTAAGGAAATAAACCTTAACTCAATATTTAAAGAAATCTATACTATTTTAATTGTAAACATTTTTTTAAACAAAAACCCCGTTTAGAGGGCTAAAAAAGAGTTCATTTAAGGAAGTGTCAAATATATGACACTTGACATAACAATAATATAGCTTCGTATAGAGAAAATGTTTTAAACTGCATAACCTTAATTATAGAAAATTTTTTGAAAGATCTGGGAAACTTTTCCTTCAAAAGAGATGTCAGAAAATGACAAAGTTTTTGTATAAAAAAGTGATCAAAATAGTAGTCGAAATCTGACAAACTTTTCCCATAGAAAAGTGGTAAGAATCTGACAAACTTTTTCTATAGAAAAGTGGTCCGAATCTGACAAACTTTTCCCATAGAAAAGTGGTCAGAATCTGACAAACTTTTCCCATAGAAAAGTGGTCAGAATCTGACAAACTTTATCTATAGGAAAATGGGAAAAAAGTTTTCCTATAGAAAAAATATTATAATCTGACTGAACTAGATCGGAACTACAACCGAACTAGAACAGAACTATAATTGAACTGGAACTGAACTAGAACTGAACTAGAACTGAACTAGAACTGAACTAGAACTGAACTAGAACTGAACTAGAACTGAACTAGAACTGAACTAGAACTAAACTAGATTAACAAGAACTAAACTAGAACTGAACTAGCACTAAACTAACACTTAACTAGAACTGAACTAGAACTAAACTAGATTAACCAGAACTGAACTAGAACTGAACTAGAACTGAACTAGAACTGAACTAGAACCGAACTAGAACTGAACTAGAACTGAACTAGAACTGAACTAGAACTAGAACTGAACTAGAACTGAACTAGAACTAAACTAGAACTGAACTAGAACTGAACTAGAACTGAACTAGAACTGAACTAGAACTGAACTAGAACTGAACTAGAACTGAACTAGAACTGAACTAGAACTAGAACTGAACTAGAACTGAACTAGAACTGAACTAGAACTGAACTAGAACTGAACTAGAACTGAACTAGAACTGAACTAGAACTGAACTAGAACTGAACTAGAACTGAACTAGAACTGAACTAGAACTGAACTAGAACTGAACTAGAACTGAACTAGAACTGAACTAGAACTGAACTAGAACTGAACTAGAACTGAACTAGAACTGAACTAGAACTGAACTAGAACTGAACTAGAACTGAACTAGAACTGAACTAGAACTGAACTAGAACTGACCTAGAACTGAACTAGAACTGAACTAGAACTGAACTAGAACTGAACTAGAACTGAACTAGAACTGAACTAGAACTGAACTAGAACTGAACTAAAACTAAACTAGAACTAAACTAGAACTGAACTATAAATGAACTCGCACTAAACTAACACTAAACTAGAACTGAACTAGAACTAAACTAAAACTAAACTAGAACTGAACTACAACTAAACTAGAGCTGAACTGGAGCTGAACTTAAACTGAACTAGAACTAAACTAGAACTGAACTAGCACTAAACTAACACTAAACTAGAACTGAACTACAACTAAACTAGAGCTGAACTGGAACTGAACTTAAACTGAACTAGAACTAAACTAGAACTGAACTAGCACTAAACTAACACTAAACTAGAACTGAACTAGAACTAAACTAGAGCTGAACTGGAACTGAACTTGAACTGAACTAAAACTAAACTAGAACTGAACTAGAACTAAACTAGAACTGAACTAGAACTGAACTAGATTAACCAGAACTGAACTAGAACTGAACTAGAACTGAACTAGAACTGAACTAGAACTGAACTAGAACTGAACTAGAACTGAACTAGAACCGAACTAGAACTGAACTAGAACTGAACTAGAACTGAACTAGAACTGAACTAGAACTAAACTAGATTAACCAGAACTGAACTAGAACTGAACTAGAACTGAACTAGAACCGAACTAGAACTGAACTAGAACTGAACTAGAACTAGAACTGAACTAGAACTGAACTAGAACTGAACTAGAACTGAACTAGAACTGAACTAGAACTGAACTAGAACTGAACTAGAACTGAACTAGAACTGAACTAGAACTGAACTAGAACTGAACTAGAACTTAACTAGAACTGAACTAGAACTAAACTAGATTAA